AAGTACATGCTATGTCAGCTATAGTAAATAAGCTTGTTATATATGGGAAAGAGGAGAATGATCTCTAAATTAAATTCATTGATAAATTAAGAAACAATCTTTAAAGGCAAGTGGGTCAGTGGCTTCAGTCAGCATTTACAAAGATGAGCATATATCTATACTTTATCATTAAAAAGCACAATAAAATATTTTCTCCTACACTGATACTGGGAAAACTAAGCTCACATCTGTAACTGAGTCATACATTTTCCATGTCTGGAAGACCATCTAAGTATCTCTCTTGCTCACCATCTGACTGGCCAGCCCTTCCTGAGAATGCTTCTGGGAACCTCACCCTTTCATATCTGAATGTCCCTGGGACAATTTTTAGCATATCAGAAGGTCATTTTAATTACATTCATAGTTAACAAAAATACAATTACAGATAAAAAAACAGATCGTAGACCCTCTTTCTGTCCAGGATAAATGTGTGCCAGTTAAAGGACTTGTACAGACCAGTCTTCTGATTAGGAACATTAATCAGAAATGCCAGCAACTGATACAGGTTTACAAGATAAAATCATATGCAGAGCTTCCTGCATTCCTAGTTTACTACTGTTAGATCTTACCTCTCCTGTACATTTTTCATTATCCCTATTCATGGCTGCTGGTTTATGTAAATGTGGGTAATGGTGATACTGTGGGAACCACATTGTATCTCTCTGATAAGAAAGAAAATAGTGTGAAGGGCACCAAAAGAGCAGAAATGTCTACTGACCGATTACAACTGAGTATGTACCTGTATTAGTACTCATCACTGTATCAGGCAAAACAACTATCCTGGCAAGAACTAACCACAGATTGATTGTATCATAACCCAAACCTTCAACAGTATTTAGATGATGGAACTTAAGATATTTTCAAAATATAAACAAGTATAAAAACAATGGTCTTTGCCAGGAATGCACTCAGTTTCTGATCCAGAAATTCTTGTTCACACCTGGATTGGTATTCTCATTTCAAAATTATGAACTTCATAAGAAAGGCCATCACAAAAGCTCCCATGTATCTATTGCTACACAATGTAGTATTTGAGCAACTGTTCATGCAAACTTTCCTGTCCAGCCTGTCTGCACAAGTTTACAGTCCTTGCACTGACTGCTTGGGATTAAAAGAAGTTTTCAGTCTTCAGGATTTGCATGCACAAAACAAACATTCCTCCATTTCTTTGTTTCCTAACATTAATTCATTTGGATGCTTCTAATCATGGGCAGAAATAATCTGAATAGTGAATAGGAGTGGTTTAACTTGACCTGTGTGTATCTAGAGACACCAATTTAAGACAAAAATTTATCTATCAGTAAACCCCAGCATTCTATGACTCTATCCTTCAAACTGTTTTGTTACATCATCCTATAAAGAAGTCCCAAATGCTGAACATTTACAATCCCAATTGTATATAAGTATTCTAGGTGATAAACTATATTAATTCAACAATAACATGTGTTGACAAACTTTAAGCACAAGCTTTGACTGTTTTTAATACTCAGAGGAAGTTTTCAAAAGATCACATTCAGACTAAGAAGACCTCACTGATTCCAACAAGTTGAGTTCATATATTAAGCCTTTTCAGGGGTGTCTGTTTAAATTTCAGAGTGAGTCCAAAACTGTCTTATAAATTCAGACTGATTACTAGCCAGCTGTTAAACCTGTTGTAAAAGCAAAGGTTTTATGACACTACAAAAATTGTGACATCTTCTGTTTCTGCCTCTGCTGACTATTTAGCTCTTTCTACATTTTATGGAAACTTTTACCGCATTTTAGTGTAGGTAAAAAGTAAAACAGATGGAAACAGGTTCAAATGTTTCCCCATAGTACTTGAGAACTATGACTTTAAAATATTATGCCTTTTTAGGGTATAAGAATAAGACACACATACACAGACTGTAACATATGTTACAAATACATACTGCAAATATATAGCTATATACTATATTCTTCAAGAAAATTTTCCACTATTTTCCCTTTTCACACTCCAGAGTTACCAGACCTGCAGCTGCGTTACTGAATGTTGCAACATTCAGTAAGACCCAAAAAAAAAAAACATTTTCTGAAGGGTGCTGGGGTAGTGAGTCCCTTAAATAGTGAACATCAATTGTAAGAAACAACACTCCCAGTTTCAGATGTATTTGTAATATCTTGTTAGAGATTATAGCATACCAAAAGGCCTGAAGGTAGCACAGTGAATTGAAGTGGCACACTTTAGTTTCTTGGATTATTATGTCTAAACATGAAAATATTACACTTAATGACTTTGTAAAAGAAATTCTTGGGGAGCCTCATATTTCACTTCGGCAAATTAGCATCAAAACATAGCATTCTTTTAAAGAGATGCTTACACAAAAATACAATGTTTCTTATTGCTTGACAATAACATACGAAGTAGAAGCGCTTCTAAATTCTAAGCCAAATGAAAAGTCACCAGTGTCACAGGCTCTTAAAACCTGTTGGTTTTGTACTAGGCTGTAGTGAAACTTTTCCATTAACCTGTGCTCCTTACATTCTAATCCTGCTGCTGAATCAGTTGTAGATATAATGTTACAAGAAACAATATTTTCATGCTGGTCTTTGCAGGAATAAACAAGCAGTACATGCTCAAGGCCAAATTAAATATTTATTAATGAATTATAACAAAGTAATTAGTGTCAAATTAGAATATTCTGGAGATCTGATTAACAGTTAATTGTCTTTACTCACCTGGGAGTCTGCTGTTTCTATATTCTCTGCCAAGATAAAAATACAAGAAGGAAAAAAATGTGCATTGGAATGAGACATAGTTTTTGAATGTTTCCATCAATTAAAGAAGCCAGCAGATATAAGAATATATACTTCATATAAATAAAAAGTACATGCACTTTACTAGTAATCCTGAAAGTCGTATCCTAATATAAAGACTCACTGCATCTACACCGTATTGTACATTATTTTTTCTTTAGCTAATGGGATAGCAGGACCACACCTAGAATTCATCTCACCTAGCTTCATCATTGTGAAAACTAATATCTATAATTATATAACCAATTTATACTAGGCTTCTGAACTGACATGAGGTTAAGTAAAAATGTAAAACTCCAAAGACATTTATGTCAACAACTTATGGGGAAAGGTCATATGAGTTTAAACAGTAGGGACAACATAACATGAATTTAGAAAATGACAAATCATCACACAAACTCAGTAAACATGAGCCACAAACTGTACACAAGGATAACAGCAAAAATATTAGTCTGGCTTTAAGAAACATCTGTAATCTAAAGGACTAATTCCCTGGGAATGCCTTAGACTCAAATTGGCTTATAATTGTAGAAAACTAGGATTTGAGACTTAGTCTGATAAGATCAGATAATAACTCCAACCTGTTCCCTCCCCTTTGAATCCATCTAATGAAAAGCAAGACAAAGAAAAAAGTTAACAAGTGCTAATAAGCTGTAGACCACCAGTAAGAAGAAAGTAAACAAAACAGGTCAATTGCTGTCGCTCATTCCTTTATTTTTTCTTATAGCAAAATGACGGACCATTTCTGCCTTCATGTGGTACCAAAAGGCATTATAGATTTAAAACATCTGCATATTCAATAGATTTACTTGTCCTGATCTGAAGCCAAAATAACTGAAAAAATACAACACATCAGTAGTGCCTATGTTCCCACATCATTTTCTATTACCAAGACCACATCCAACAGAAGAGTGGACTGAACAGGAAGTGGCAAGACAGTTCACATTATTTGGAAATTACTCCCAGAAACTTCACAAAAACCTAAAGATTTAAATGAAGGATGGTATGGGTAACCCATTTTTAGTTTTTTTCTTTGGCATATCTCAGTCTCCAAGAAAATTTATACAAAGCCACAGATGAATTTGTTCAACATATTTTTGTAGTGCACATCTCAAGATCAGTTTTCTCATGTCTTAGTACTTTGCCTGTTTGCAGACTCTTTAATAAGCTTTTAGTAAGTCTTATTAAAGATTAAGACCTATGCCTCTTGAGATTTCTATATCTTCATTTCTTTAGAATACCTTTCAATACACTGGATTTACCAAAATATACACAAATCTAATTTGTCAAAACTGGTATTGTAGGTCTGAAATGCTTCCACTCGGTGTTTGTGGATAGAGGAATGCATTTTGATATTCCTTGAGGGAATCATTGGGCAGTCATCTTCTAGATCATTACTGAACAGGTTAGGAACAAGAGCAAAAGAATGAACTTTTTTTAGCCAGCTGATTTAAGTCTTCATTCCCATCTGTAACTCTTCACATCATATGCTTGCTTCCTCAAAAAAAAAAAAAAAAAAAAAAGAAAGGTTTTGTTAGACATTTACAAGTAAATGTACCACATGCACACGTTCTGTATGTCGGAAAAGGAAGCAAAAATAAAATCTCTAGGATCAAACTCTATTGCATGAAAGCAGTCAGATACAGGATTTCAGTTGTGTGTAATGTGTTCAGGCCTGCTTTCTTTATTTTGCTTTGCTTTGCTTTTGAGACAATTAAAATGCTTCAAAACATAGGAGCATACAAGAATAATCTCTCAGAAATACGTATTTACAGGTGAGAGGTATTAAATGGATTTCCAAATTCAGAATTTAAATCTTTGGAGAAACTCCTACTTGCAATCAGATCTCATTCAAGTGTACAGATATTGGGAGATATTTAGCATCATAGAAAACTTGGATATTATTCAAGTGTTAAGTTCAAAGAAAATATTCTTACAGGCCTTTGATAAATACAAATGTTCAAAGCATTTGAGTTTGGTCCCTTAGTGGGTATTAGAATTGAGATGGAGGGGAATAAAGATACATGCAATTTGCAGCATTTTGTATTGCAGAAATCCTTCTGTATCAATGACCAGCTCATAAAAAATCTCCACATTTTAAATCAGGTCAGTAAGATTTGAATACAAATTTTTGCTTTATATTTTATAATTTTATTATTTTTCTGGGAACAAGAAGACTATCAATCAACCAACTTGTGTCTTAGCTTTTTTTGTGATCCAAATTAAATTTCCAGGTATCAGAAGCAGAGGACAGTATCATAAACTTTTTTTCATTGAACTTTTACGAACTTATCCCGCTATTGCCATCTTGTGGGTGACCCACAGCATGCCTTGCTCATTTTGCATCTCTTCTGCCTTGTGGAGAAATGTTTTCTGATACTCCAGATTGACATGGCAATCATGACCTGAAAATTGGAAAAGGAAGTTCCTGTAAGTCAAAAGAGTTGACTTGATTAATTTAAACGAAGGGATTAAAGAAACATAAACTTGTTTCAATAAATGATGAGTTACTTTATCCAAGATACTGAGCACTACTGGTATATAAGTTTTTACAGTTCACTTTTATATTAGACAATTGAATTTCTCAGGAGAAGAATGATCGACTGCTGAAGGCATAAGGCTTATGTAAATCATGTGAATATTCAGTGTCACACAGACTTGAAGATAATAGTTTTAAATATAAATTTATGACAGATTGTGTAAAACACAGATACCATGGCACCTGATTTTAGGAACCATATAATATAGGGAAAAAAAAAAAAAAAAAATGCTTTCCAGCAATACCATGTACTTACTTTTCTTCTCACATATAATATTCATATAAAAATTAAATATAGCTAGACTTTTTGTATTTCTCCTCCATTTCCCCCCTCTCCAGAAAAAAAAAGAAGTCCCAGAGACAAGGGAGTATGTGACATAATCGTGGAATTCCCAAGTTCAAAAAGATCTGTGCACTTAAGATGTCGAGGTTTTGCTTTCAGGCTTCATTTCACAAGTCTAGAACTAAAAAAAAATGAGCTTAAATAAAGGCAAATCAGTCTTCAGACCACAACATTTCACTCTCCCACTGTGACAAAAACTGCAATGGAAATATCGATTCCTGTACGATTGCACAGTCTTTTAGAAGCAGATACCAATGCATTCTGTCTGCTTTATTCTGACAGCTTCGTGAGTTGCCTCCAACCCACAGTGAAGCTGTGATTACTTTGGCACTGTGTTCAGTTAGTTAAGTATGCTTAAACATGCTGTTATGCTGTTGCAGTTGCACTTTTTTCAGATACGAATGATTCTATGTTTGCCAGTGAAAAGCTTACAGGAACATCCCAATGGCCCCTCTCATACGTATATGGCATCTACACAGAGTGTATTGAAAATATCTTTTTTCTTTACGGGAATAATTATGCTGTTAGCATAATCTGAAACCTGCAGACCTTGATGTTTGATGATGAATCAAGGCTTCTGGGTCAATTTCAGCTATGTCTGACACACACTCACACAGAATATTGCCTTGCTGCTACGACATTTCTTGGACATTTTTTATACATTGTGTATCACCATACCTCTGTATTTCTTGAACTCTTTTCTCCTCCTTAAAATGTAGTTTCAGCATCACTTCAATGTAAGAAGTGTTCAAAGATTTTTGAAGAGTTTCTATCTTGATTCAGTATAGTTTGCCTGCTTGATTAGAAAGCAAGTCCCAGAGTCTGTGACTGGAGAAAAAATCGTATTCCACTGAAAAATGTATTACTTCAGTCACTTTTCCCTAGTTTTGGGTTTCTTATAAACAATATTATCTCTATGATGATAGCTATGATAACAAGCCTCTGGCTTTCGTACCACAGCAGAATTTTGACTTCAGAGAAAAACATATTCTTTTCAAGTGGACCCTATTCGTACAAAATGAAAGATGACATTACAACAAAGCCTAAGCCACAGCCTAGCAGAAATCAGCCAATGAAAAGAGTCAATGGACAAAAAGTAAGACATTAGAAAAAATTCAAGGAAAAAAAGTAAAAAAGACAAACTCTTTTAAGGAATCAGATTTATATTTTGTCAGGCATTTTCTGATAATTAAAAAAAAGAAGATTCCATCATTAAATATAAATGACATATATAGTTTCTTCCATATGATTTTCTCTACATAGTCATGTCTAAATTGTGAACTGTGAGTCCATGATTAGTCAGTGCCTATCAACACAAACTCTGTGAGCTTGAAAAACTCTATGCATGAAAAGGAGAGCTAATATAGAATCGAAAAAAAGCCTCTGCTTATTTGGAAAGTATACCATAACACTGCTGTCAGAATTAGAATGTTTAAAATTTCTCTATTAGGAGCCTCTTAAATGTGCTTTACAAAGAAAATGCAATTGATCTGCCTTCTATTAGTAAAGAAATCATGGTCAAAATTTTCTGGTGTGCTACACCTCACAGAATAAAGTTCAAGGTTTAGGAATATCGTTGTAAACCATACTGTAAACTGCCAGTTCAGTGGTCAATTAATGTGGCCATTTTGTCACCTGGCACTATATAACATTATCCTTGGGGGTTTGGAGGTCTTGCTAGTCCATTGACATGGCAATTAATATTCATACAGCTTCACTTGCCCTTCAGACCTGCTGCTACATTTCACTGACTCAGTGTGTAAGCAACATGCCTTGACATAAGTTAGTGAATGTAAAATAGCTTTGTGATAGAAGATTAATCTTTTAAATGAAACTGTTAGTTAAAACAAATATTTAAACTTTGTCTGAAAATACTAAGTTAATTGGTTTTGCATAAAGATGTTTAGAGACTTCTGAGATAACACAGACAAGCTATATGATGTTTAAACTGATATGAATGTTCAAGTTCAGAGTGTTTTGTATGATGTATTTTATTTCATGTCAAAAATTATTTTACCTTCTGGAAAGAAGTTATTAAAGGGAGAATTTGTAGCAACTTTTGAAGTTGTTTCACACTTCCTTCTATAAAAAAATTATAATTCATTGGGATTACAACTTAGTAGGTGAAAGTAACAAAGATCTCTCTTCACAATAGGTCTTTAAAATATGGCAAGCAACAATATCATGTTTTAGAAAGGTGCCTTTCTGTTATTACACTCTGGTTAAACTGAGTTCTATGCTATTTGTCTTTGGGCTGATGGCTGTTCTGTTTGGTGCCACTTAAAGCAGTTTTAAACCTGTGTAGCAAAATGGGCAGAGGCAATTGGCAGAGGACAAAGCCTACTGTACTTACTAGAACTGCTTAGTTTCCAGGGAGTCAAAAGAAAAAAATCTTAGAAAAACATATGCACAATTTATATTGCCAGGGTGAACACTCCATAATTAAGAAATAACAAATTTATATTTATTACATTTAATGTATTCTCTTGGCTATATGCTTTATTGCAGACACATTAGTTGATTGGCTCCTATTCTGCACCCCTTATCCCTCATTCCCCAGTAACTCTATCACACTATTTTTTCATTTCTTCAGGGGTTTAGAGTCCTGAAGAATGTTAGAAACATGCATTTCATAGAAATATAGATGACTTCAGCTGCAGGATTCTTTTGGCATGAGTGAACTACAAAAATGCGTCTTAGAAGTCTAAACAAGATGCCTAAAAGAGTTTTAACTCCCATTTGCAGGAGCTGTTTATTTTCTGAGAATATTTTTAAGTTCTGATGTTCCAAGAAATCAGAATAGAAAGAGCTTTCATAGAAATATTGAATTTCATTAGAGATTATTAGAACAATTGAAAGGTCTTGCAATACAGAAGTAATTGATCTGTTCAAATGAAGAACATTTGCTTACAGTTTGATAAAAAGTATCTCTCATAAAGATTATGTCTTACATATTGTGGGAATTCTGTCACCATAGACAACCTAGATTAATTGTAATAAACAGAAATTGTCACAAAAACTCTCAGTTTATGCCATCGAATATTGTGTACATAAATTTCATTTCCTAATATTATGAAACAGCCGAGAGCATAATAAATCATCTACCTAAGTCCTTTGAGAATTTTTGCATAATTTACTGAAACAAATTGATTTTAGCAAAAAAGCTACTAATTTACATGGGGAGGAATGGTTTTCTTAGTGTGATGAATTTAATTTCAATTTCCCTGTTTGCATGAATTCACTCTAGCAATTCATCACTGCTAGAATTAAACTACAAACATGTTTTAGTTGAGCAGCCGCATAACTTACACCTGAATGACAATAAACTGCATTTAAAACGTAAGCTGTGAAATTAGCAGAATGTATCTGGTGAATATCAATGCAAAAGCCACACTACATGTCAAAAATACAAACAATAAAATGCTACATGACAACATTAAACATTTAGAGAATTTTACCCATAGATTGGTTGTCAACATTGCAATTCTAACCTTTCTAATAATTCATAAGGTTTTGTTGGGTAATAATACACTTTCTCATGAAAGAACAGGGGTGTAAAAGAGAATTTGTAAAATGTGTAGGGGTAAACTAGAATAGAATGAGCCCTCTCTCTTCAGGTTTTTTAAATTAATTGTAAATCCAAATACTTAGAACATACATGATATGGAAATAAATTATCTTTTGCAGTCTGTTCAAGCCAGTTCCAAATAGACTGAAAATTAAACTAATATTACTGGCAACTCAAATGTTAAAGAAATTAATTTTAGGTTTATGTCCATAGTCCAGGGCAAGATAAGCTAGTGGCTACCAGGAATCCAGAGTGAATTTAAAGATCTGTAAAACAGCTAGAATGTATATTCCCTAACTATTCTCTTCAGTGCTTACTGCTACCAATAGGTGGCTCGTCCTCTGAGTTTACTTGACTTAGGCTTCAGTCAGCACAGAATATAAGAAAAACTATTCTGAATTGGTTTTTGGTTGGTTCAGTTTTTCAATCCTGTATTAGATCTCTGTTCTCTGCCTCAAACCACTGCTGACACATAATTTTTAAATGCGATCCTCTAAGATATTAAGTTTTACATGGTGTGTGAATATGCCTTTCTTCAAACATAGCAGTACTTGAAACTTTCAGTTTCAGAAAAATCTGAAGAGAGAAACAGATAAGTCAAAGAATTTTGTTACTAAAATATTTGTGAAAATAGGAAAGAGGAAAGAATAGCATCAGTGTTCTTCGTGATGCAAAGGTCAATACAAGTATAGGACAGAAAACATAGCTAAGGACTATGATGTTTGGTCAAAAAAGAATTAAAAGACACACGTGCCTTCTCAGATATCAAAAGTCTAATGAAAACTTTTAGAATATGTAGGAATCCAGGACAGAATGCACAGTAACTAAAAACTGACCCATTCTTTCCCACCTCTTGGTCAGCCCACAGTACCAGTTCCATTGTTCTCTAACAAATACATTTGCAGGAAACAAAACAGTAAAGGAATTTACCTTTTGGCCTGCTGAGCTTAAGAAGGTTGCTTGTATTTTAAGACTTACTAGTTCTTGGGACTTGTGCCAATGGGTATTCCAGGAATATCACTCTGCGAAAGAGGAAGACAGATTCAAAGATTTACAGGAATGGAAGCAGGGTCAACCATACAGACTAGCTACTTTTCAGATTTTCACTTCCCTTCATCCCAGCTGTCCATTAGGATAAGAAGCCAAACACTTAATTGTCATGATCAAGAACTGATTTATCAAATGGCCAATTATCTCACTATTTATAAATTTATACCCATGTTAAATTACAATAATGCAAAACTTGTATAAAGATTTCTCCACCATATCCGATGTATTTGAGAGTTGTCACTCACTGTTTAGCTCACACACATGAAAATGAATTTCACAGAAAGTAACTTGCTTCTCAGAAACAAAAGTATGTTGAAGATATGTATGGATTATTTGATTAGTTTCTTTCAGCAGCATCAAATAGCATAAGTCTGTAGCAGTTCGTATATGCTTCATACTGCAGGGGGGGTTGGAACTAGATGATCTTAAAGTTCTTTCCAACCCTAAACATTCTATGATTCTGTGTTAATACTGAACCTGTAAAGAACTCATCATTCGCATATTCTTCTCAAAAGCGCCAGATGCACATTCTTAAATAAAGTTATAAATGGTAATGACAAGATTTCATTCTTTTAATGAAGAAGGAATCGTATTAAATGCTACAGACTGTGCTCGTACTTCACTTTCCAGACTTATATGCTTTATATGCTGCAAAATCTATGAACATCCTTAATTAGAGTATGAAGAACAGAAGTTGAAACCTTACTTGAAATTCTATTTTTTTGCTTGTGGAGTCTATGTGTATTCAACAGCATTTGATTTACATATGTTATGTATAATTACTCCAAAAAAGTAAACAAATATCCTAAGTAGAAGTAAATACTAAGGACAGCAGAATAATTTTTACCTCCAACAACCCCCCCTACCTCACCTTCGCAACATGGGTACCTGTGCACTGTCTGCATTGCTTGGAATCTACTGCTTCACAGGAAATTTTCCTTTTTATAGGTTGTAATAGTGTCAACAGCAAACTTATGTGGTTCCTTTAATTTTTTTTGAACCAGCTCATGAGTTTTTCTGGCCATGTAACAAGATGGCTATCTTCCCTTGGGATTTTGTTCTTTGCTTAAGGCAATGGAGTCGTGAGACAACTAGATGCTTCTGTAATGCACAAAAAATAATTAGATAGGTTGTTAAGTCTCCTGAGAATATGCATTATACATCCCCAAAAAATAATCCTGGCTTTTTTCCTTCTTTATATTTTTATTTCTCTTGGCATCCATAATAACCTCTTATGGACCTTTTACTGTCTTACTGTATCACTATCAGCTTTTTTGATTTTTCTTTTTTTATTCTGACTCTTAAGATCACATCTTACTTCCTATATAGAAGCCTCTATAATACATGATGTTTCTGTTGCACTTTCATGCCTACTTCAAATATCACAAGCCCTAGTATACTAGAAGACATGAATGTCCTAGACACAGTGCAATGCTTTCACTGTATGGTAGACTATTTCCTGGATTTTCTTCCAGAAAGAAATATTTCAAAAATGAGAGGCAGAGGGAAGAGAAAGGAGAAAGGATGGAGAAATTATATCATCAAGAAAGCTTCTAGAATACAATTCTTTTCAAACCAGCCTTTTATGTCATTATGCGGGTTGTGTGTTCTTTCTTTTTATCACTTTCCTCCAACAGAGTGATCTGGAACTATATGGTATGTGGCATGGAACTGCCCAGGAATCATAACACCCAAAAGTAGAAATTCCTTCTCAAGAAATGGAGCTTTCCTTTAATTACAAAATCATCTCTCTAAACATTGGAGTCAAATACCTCAAGTCATAGCCAGTAGGGTGAAAACTCAGTACAACAGGCCCAAATGGCAATAAAACTATATGTGCAGTGTCTCATTTTGAGAACTCTGTATACTTACAACAAAGTTAGCACTACAACAGTGCAGTATTGGTCATTTTAGTTTTGGTTTCATTTTTTTTTTTTCCATCTTCAGTTCACTTCAGAGAAAGTTTGGACCTGTGAGAATATATGAATTCCTCCCCCCTGCATTATACTTTGCAGCCCTTCATGATATATTAGGCACACATCATCAATAAAGACTGCTAGCTAACAGAAACATACACAAAACATTACTTTAAATTTGTTTGGTTTGTGGGAAAATGTGCAAGACTCAAGTAAAACTTTTTAAATCATGAACTGTTAACTTTAACAGTCATGTTCTCTGCTACATCTTGACTGCCTGCTAAATGGATGCATTATTGCTACAGCTTTCACCACCAGCTTCTGCAGTAATCCTTCTGTTTAATGATCCTGATTTAAAAATCGTTACAGTTAACAACTACTGATATTTTACTTTCAGCATTTTGGCATTCAGAACTACTTAAATGAAGCAGTTCAATCTTCTAAGTGACAATAATAGTTCTCATTATACCAACCTGCAGGACTTCCATTCTGCTACATTTTGGTATATTATATAGCCTACTCTGCTATAATCATTAGCATAGTATTAAAAATACTCTTAATCTTTGTCAGAAAACTCATCAAATATTGAACTTTTTTGTTTGGAAATATAACTGTTTCTTCCTGGGAATCATTCTTTCCATGCTGGACATGAACTACAGTCTAGCTTACAGTCTAAATGCCTGACTTGATCATCCTGTTATTGCAAGTGAGTACAGCAGTGTATTAAATCTGCCATTTCTAGACTAATTTACAGATACTACAGTCCACACTGTCTTTTTGGAAGCTATGGGAAGTCTTTCAGATCAGTTCTTTGAGGAATGATGATAGCACTGTAACATTTAAAAGTCTCAAGCTTAAGTGACCTGTAAGTTTCTAAGAAGTTACTAATTTTACTTCTGTTTATTGCATACTGATACAAAAGGTGACGTCCTGAATATTACTAAAAGATTAAAAAATATCAAGAGGGGGATGGAAGGGAGAAATACGCATTTCTGTTTATATTTTCATTACTGTAGCATATAGTACTTTCTGGAATAAAACTGTCAAATTAGTAACATATGGAAAATATTTAGAATGTTCATTCCTGTTTACTTATGTAAGATAGTTCAATATTGCTAAGGAGGAAGAATATTTCCAGTAGACACCTCTTTTGCTTAGTACCAACTTGACCAAAAATTAGCACAGAGCTGAGCATAACAGAAAACAGGTTTACACTTAGAGATCTCATAAACATAGTGACCGGTTTAGTACTTGCACTTTCTTACAGAGTAGGAAGCATAAAAGAAGCTGTTAAAGCTTTGAAATTTCACGTTTTTGTCTTGAAAATCTGATAAGATCCAGTGGGAGAAAGTAGCAAACAGGATTTGAGCTGTCTTAGTTTAAAAGACCAGCAAGGTAATGGGTGTAAAAATTAAGGTTAAACCTGTAACTGAAAAAATAAAATCTTGTAAACATAATCCTTTAACAAAGTTAGCACAGTTGTGAAAAGGAACTGGCTATGATGCAGTAATTGTGAGAAAACACATTCTTGATTATTGAATTTTTGATTGTGTGTTTGTTTCTATTTATTTATGAATTTCTGGAGCCTATTTCACTGAACACTTCAATAGCCCATTTCTTGCATCAGATTAAAAACATGAAATTCAAACAAGTAGTGCCACAGAAAAGGCATATCAAACAGCCTTACAAGGAAATGTGCAATAAAATATTGTCTGTTAAACACTATTCCAGAAATCAGATAACTATCTTGACAAGGAAACTCGCAGTTTTAAAAGCTCATCAAACTCTCAAATTAAACTTCTACTAATAGTATTAAAAAACAAAAACAAAAAAAAAAAACAAAAAATCACCAAAACCGCAAACAAACACAAAAGCAAACAAACAAACAAACAAACAAAACAAAACAAGGAGTTGTGGAAACCAAACTGGGATCTCAAAAGCAACATTTTTTTAGTTGTAGACTTTTCTACTTTTCCTATTTTATGTTGAAAAGAGGTGGAGAAAAAAAAAGCCAATATGATTTCCTACCCAGCCAGTAGAAAAGGGGGATCACATTCTGTTTTCTATGTAATTGCATCATTTATTTGTCCATCCAGCAGTTCAGTTAAATTTGAGAAACAGGCTACTGTTTTACAGAAAACAAATTACTATGAATATTATGAAAACTGGAAGCTACACAGACACAACTCCATTTGTTCTGTCTGCCTTTTACTGGATAATAAAAATGAACTTAGAGTGCTAGAAACAAGGGTTGTGTGTGATGCAGATGAAAAGAAAGAGTATCATGCAGAGTATGAAAAAATTAAAAGTGGAAGACGCAGAAAGAAAGAATTAGCAGCTTTGACTTTTTCTTTTAATTAGAAAGTATTCAAATCAAATCTTGGTAATGCAATTTTCCAAGCTCAAGAATGGTACAAGTAATAATGAAGCAGAGGTTCAAAACATTTTTAAGTAAAAAATTTTCTTTTTATAGTGAAGTCTGCAGAGAACTCAATCTAGATAATGTGTTTACAAGCTATGTATGAAATCCTACTGCACATCAATATTTTATGTGATATAATCATAGAATCATAGAATCATAGAATAGTTAGGATTGGAAAGGACCTTAAGATCACCTAGTTCCAACTCCCCTGCCATGGGCAGGGGCACCTCACTCTAAACCATCTCACCCAAGGCCTCGTCCAGCCTGGCCTTGAACACCACGAGGGATGGAGCATTCAGAACCTTGCTGGGCAACCCATTCCAGTGCCTCACCACCCTAACAGGAAAGAATTTCCTCCTTATATCCAGTCTAAACTTCCCCTGTTTTTTAACCCATTACCCCTTGTCCTATCACTACAGTCCCTAATGAAGAGTCCCTCCCCAGCATCCCTATAGGCCTCCTTCAGATACTGGAAGGCTGCTCTGAGGTCTCCATGCAGCCTTCTCTTCTCCAGGCTGAACAGCCCCAACTTTCTCAGCCGATCCTCATATGGGAGCTGCTCCAGTCCCTTGATCATTCTCGTGGCCTTCCTCTGGACTTCTTCCAACAGATCCATGTCCTTTTTATGTTGAGGACACCAGAACTGCACACAATATTCCAAGTGAGGTCTCACGTGACCAGAGTAGAGGGGCAGGATCACCTCCTTCAACCTGCTGGTCACGCTCCTTTTGATGCAGTCCAGGGTACGGTTGGCTTTCTGGGCTGCAAGCGCACACTGCTGGC